GTTATGTGAACTTTATATTAGGTTTTAATTCTCGAGTCTTCAAGAAGATTCCGTTTGCTTTTGAATTCCTTTCCAAATTAAGCTTTAGATGTTTTAGCCAAAACAGCGATGATAATCGATGTATCGCGTTCAAGAAACAACATTTTTAAAACCTCACTTTTTACCATTCAGGTGTAGAGCATTAAGAGAAGCTTTATTTAAACAGAATATATATTCTGAAGGTATCTATATCACCAATACGTACTTGTATACATATTCCCACACACGGCTACGTAACATTTCAGGGTTTAACGCTGGCTACTGCCTTAACCGCATAAACGAGTGTAATGCACACATACGAGCACATATGTATGTGTGTGCAACTGGATGTGTGTGTGTGTGTGTGTGTGTATGATCTCGGCGAAATGAGGGTAGGGTTTGTGTAGACGTGCCCCTATGCGTTGACGATGCCGCCACGGTTGCATGTTAGTGTCAGGTGGAGCAACATTTGGAGTGTTGTCGTCATGTTTTGGTTTTTGTTGCCGCCATCACAGTCATACATAGTTGTTGTTGCTGCTGTTGTTGTTCCTGTTGCTGTAACTGTTGGTGCTGTAACTGCCATTTTACACATTTACAAGTTGCCACTTTATATTGTATAATATTACCACGTACATGTGTGGCACACTCTTTGCCATTTCTCTACACTTTTTTACGCCACTCCCCTCTCTCTCTCTCTCTCTCTCTCTCTGCCACGTGTGCGCCTCTCGGTGTGCTTGGGTCCTTGTGTGTCTGTGTGTGTTTGTGTTTGTGTTTGTGTGTGGTGTGTGTGTGTGTGAAGTAATTCAATAATTATGCTGTTGACATCATATTCGTGTAAATTTCTGTTTGAGCTTTTTTTTTCGCTGACGAGCGGTTTGAGAGCTGCGGCTGGATAAGTCACACGCCGCTTAACAATTAACCCACTAACGACATTGCCAGCGCACGTGACATTGCGAAAGACAAGGAGGGCCCTGGCTTGTTGTTTCATATTCCATTTGCCCTTTTGTGCCCACATTGTTTCCAGCTTTGGCAACCAAATTTTGCAGCAATTACATTTATTTTTAAATTGTAAATGATATTAGGTGTTGAACGTGCGCGTTTTAGGGCGACTGTGGTTTCTCGACTTTAGTTAACCCATGATATAGGCAAAAATTAAGTGGGTGTATGGCTGCTAACCTAATAGATTAGCTGCCGGCGAATACGAGCATGAGTATAAGAAAGTGCAGCTTACTTCAAGAGAGTACGAGTAGATATGTGTGTATTAACAATATTATGTCTAATTCGATTTACATAAGCATTCGTGCATTCAGAAAGGCATACTCGTAATTGAATCTACCTTTACTACAATATGTACGAGCATATGTCGCATTTATTTATTGATTTTAATCATTTTCAAAAAGTCTTCAACTACGTATACCTATACTTTATATATGTCTTATTTATTTATTTTATTTTTTTTAATATTCTTAAAAAAGTCTTTATTTACGTATAACCAATATCGTTGTTATATTGTTTCCTATTGTACGTATGATCATAAGATAAGTATATTTTTGTTGGGCGACAGTATTCTGCTTGGTAGTACAATTTACATAGAAAAATGTGTGAAGGTACTTTCTAATCCAACTGTACTGTCTAGTCAAAGGAGAAACTTAGTTATTTGTGAGACCAATAGTTTAAAAATGAATGAGGAATATTTTATTGGATGCTTTTTTGGAAAAATATTACGGCTATATATGTAGCATTTTTTGATATCAAATATAATACTATACTTAATTATTTATACTTTAATTATTTTCCCGCTTAAACAAGTTCCACGACCGTGAAGGTATTTTGTAATCCAACTGAATATGAAAATCTGTAAGATTTTTAATAAAATTGATTAAGATGTCATTTAATAATTATATCTTAAATGAAGACACAATTCAAACAAGAGAGAACGCTACAGTCGAGCAAGCCCGACAGTGTAATACCCTGTACTCAGGTAAACTTCCGTCACTGAGTCATATGCGCCCATAGCAGCAGCAAAAAGAGGAAGAAGAAGAGCGAACTTGCTGCAGTTTGTGGGGGTTGTACTGGCGAGAATTTGTTTCGCTAGTAACTTTTCTTAGAATTGACCGAATTGAATAAAATTTTGAACAACAATAGACAATTATATATAAATTATGTGTGCAAAGTTTGGTTTAGGTAGCATTTGAAATGTGGAAACCTAATATACCCTTTTTACCCTACGGGTACAGGGCATACAAATAAAATAAAATAAAACTTATGTAAACATATGAAACTTAATATCTAATTGATGCAGTCAAAGGAGAAACTTTTTATGAGAGAAATATTTTTAAAATGAAACAGGAAAATTTGAAAATGTTTTTAGATGCTTTTTTGGCAAAATATTACGGCTATGTTCTCTATATAGAATTGTGCAGAATTGTTTGATATGAAATATAATACTTGATTATTTGTAGTTGAAATTAGTTGAAATTAGTCGGAAAGTCCTTTAGTCCTAACACATTCCGAATACTCGTATTTCAATGGCGTTAGTTGTCCATTATGAGTAGCTCTGATAATTGACATAGCTTTTGGGAGCAATCATGGAAATGGATTGCCAGATGAATGTAGTATGTTAGTAGCTGTTTCCTCGTCACACCTACGATATTTAAGCCTGGCCAATGGCAGGAACTTTGGCTGCAAGTTCGATGTCGGCAACAAGCATAAATACGACCAACAAATTTTCAATTACTTGTTTGGGATAATATTTTCGGGAAATGCAATTTGTCTGACTAACTTTATTCATTCATTTTGGGGCTGAAGTTGGTGCAAGCACACACACATTCACACACACATATGCTTGTTCTAAGCAAACAGCAGCAATGAATGCGCTTTCCTACGTCCTACTTCCTCCAGCATGGGTGTATTAGTGTGCGCGTCTGTGTATGTGTCAGTGCATGTGTGTGAAAGCGCGTGTTTGCTTGTGTTTGCAGTTTTGTGCCAAAAAACAAAACTTTTGACAAAAAAAAAAGCAAAAACGAATGGAACGCAAAACGTGGAAAGCTAGGGGCAAGGGGCATTGCGCAACGCCAAGGGGCAGAGCTAACAAACATACTCACACATACACAAACACACACACATACACCGGCAGCGGCAGCGACAATGGATGCGGATGTTGTTTGTCGCGCTTTAAGCTGTTTGTGTGTGTGTGTGGGTGCTTGGCGGCAGTCAGCGGAGTTATTGTGGCACCAGCGAGGGGGCGGATTATGTTGCGAGGGGCGTGTCTGTGCCACCGCGCTTCTCGCATGTTCACTTTGACGCTTTGCACGTGTTTTCCGTTGAAATTGTAAAAGTTTTGTGATTTTTTTCTCGTTGTAGTTACCGTCCCCCCCTTCGCGACACCAAACCAACTAGCCCCTTGCCAACCACCTCCCCCCCAGACACCTATCCACACACACACACACACACACAGCTACCCGGTCGGCCCTTCGGCGCGCCACGTTGTCAGCATTGTGGCGCTGTCGCATCTAATTTCTGGTTTAAATAGTTGATTCCGGATGCAAAGGTTCATAGTTGCGCTTTTGCGCAAACTAACCCTTTTCTAAATGCTTTGAATAAATGCAGCATTTCCACGAGAGTGTGGCTGGGCGTGTGTGCGAGCATGTACATGCATGGCTGTGTTTGTGTCTGTGTTGGTGTCTGTGTGTGGGTGTTTGTTAACATTGTAGTTGACATTAATTTCATTCGTGCCCTGAGTTGGTCAAGTTTTGTTTGCCTTCCTACTTTTTGGCGTCACTGAAGCTGGCTTAGCCATAAATGAATTGTTGCTTATTCTCACAACAATTTAAATCAAAAAGTGATCGTAAAATAAATCGAAAAAAATAAAGAAAAGGCAAATTGAAATGGAATTTATGTTATTAGTATCTGAAATGTTGGTATTTTTGGATCTGAGCTTCTTTATCAATTGGCTTTTAACGAAAGCTAAAAAAAATCCTTATGAACAGCTGCCAATTAGTGAAGGCTTACAATATCCATCGACTATTTATAGTTGTTAATCAATCAATAAAATTATTTAATTTTAGACATAAAATCTGTTATCCAGAATATTTTGTGACACAATCCGTAACCACTTTGTAGACTAGAGATAAGATAAACTAGCTGAGCATGGTTTAAGGGACATTGTGTAGACTCGGTGCAGTCCCAGCTTGGGCTAAAAAAAAACTACTTAAAAAATATGTTCAGGCAAAATTAAGGCTGAGTTTTATTTATGATCAAAAGAATAAAACTCAAAGAATAATCATTATTTTATGTGTTTTATTCTTTTCTGCTGTTGAAAAGTAAAAATAAAATTTAATCATTAAATTTTGAGAGAATTAATAAAAATTACAATTTTTAAATCATGGTGAAAATGCATAGATAATCCTAAAAAATGATATTGGTGAATTCCTGTAGAGTTAACTATTTAAAGTCTTGTGTGGTTTCATCTGCAAAAAGAAAATCTACGAGCATTACGCCATCGGGACATGGAAGATGAATAAAGTTTAATGTCCCTGACCCAATAAATATGCCTGCAATATACATTTTGAAAATGTGCACGTATGGGTTAATTTAGCTTATATACTTACTTTTAATGTATTTAATGATTGACTACACTCTAAATAAAATTTTAAATGCATTTCTTTCACTTGTATTTTTTGCAATCAGGCGATCGCAGCTGCTGCAAATATTGGGTTCAATCAACTTTTATTTTAATCCTCGATCATTTCAGCAGAATTTCAATCATGTCGTAGATTGAATATTTATTTTATTCTTCATTCAGATGCAATTCTGTAGTGATTGTCTTCAAATATTGATCGATTACTAAACCGCGCCGTGCACTCGAATAAAATAGTAAGATATCGTTTTGAAAAAATAGTTCATTTATTCATTAAAAAAAAAATGTTTTGTCACTTAGAACTAAATACAATTCGACACAATTTCACGCTTAAGGGCTACTGAAGTGTTTGAAATAGAAACAAAAAAAATTGGTTGAAACACTAAAAGAGAGGTTGGGGAAAAAATAAATCATTTTTGCTGTTGGCAGACTGGCAGGTGTTATGTAGAAAAAATATATATAGTTATAGATAGATAGATAGAAAATAGACATGCTAGAACAGAGAACACACAGAGAGATGTCTGATTTACTTTCTATTGAACAGCAGCCGCGTCCTCCGTATCGGTGCTGGGGCCGGAGAAGATATAGTTATCTTTACCCGATATACCTGTACCACCGGCGTCGCCCAGCCAGGGATAGACATTGGGACACTCGCGACAGGTTTCCATGTAGCGTGTATCTGTTAGATTTTGTTCGGGTATCTTGAAGGAAAGCGCGCAGGTGCTCCAAATGTTACAGGGCTTGGGTGCCACTGCAACATTCTTGTCACATTTCCAGGCCTCAATCTGGCCGATGTCGCGCAGCTCCTTGGGATCGGTCATGTACTGCAACATTTGCGTAACCGTTAGGATGTAGACGTCGGGCCTGGGGAGTAACAATAAAAACGAATGAGAACGTTTAGAATTGCTTAGCTGAATGATGAATGGGTTAAGAGGTGCATCTATAACCATACACGCACGCACACACACATCCACACACTTCTATATACACCCACCCACTCACGAAATGACGGCGCACAGGTGTCTGACAAACAATAGAAATAGAACCGTAACTGGCACAAGCAACAACACAAGCAAACGCAGCAAATACGCCGGAGTGTAGAAGCAACAAAAAAAAAAAAAAACGGCAAAATGAAAGCAAGTCAATGCAAAAGAAAACTTTACGGCACTCTTCCACTTGCACAGTCCCTTCCAAGCAGCGGAACCAACCAACCCACCGACCCACCAACCCACCAACCGACCGCACCGTGCACATTTCATCATCGCTCTGGCACGCATTTTCAAGCATCTCATGCAAACATTTCCATGGCTGGCAGCGGGCAGCAGGCGGCATGCAGCAGGCAGCAGGCAGCAGACACCAGAAGCGGCACGGCACGGCACGGCACGGCAGCATCGTCAATGTTGAAAGTCATTCACACTAATTAAAAACTTCGCACAATTGTGCGAGAAATAGTTTTGCAGCTGCTTCTGCATCATCCGTTCATCTCAGCCCCAGCTTCAGCCCCATCCAGCGCCATCCTCAGCTCCAGGGCGTTACTTACTACCATTGCCTTCCGGTTTTTGTACCGAGCCCTTTTTCTACATTTTTCTATTGCCACATGTTCAATTGTCTGATCCTGATTGATAATTTCAATGAGCAAGCTAAATTATGTGCCAGCATACAAGTCAAGAATATATGCATTCTGAGTGCAAATTGATTATTAGAAGTGGTTGGAAAGACCAATCGTATTCATTGATTCGAATACATAGGACTTACCCCTGAATACATTTGATTCATAATGAACTCTGGCTTGACTCAAAGTAGTTCACAATAGAATTTTGAAATTTCTTAATAACCGATCCTAATTAAATGATTAGAGTGCTAAAGGCGACTGGTGAATACCGTGTACACTTTTTCCTGTACAAGCATTCAGTTAAAATAAACTGTGTTCCTTTGAAAACTGCATAGTTTATCAATTTTGATAGAGCATCGATTCGATTGTGGTGTAGTGTTATAAAATATCACACAGATCGTTTTCATGACAGCTATATGACATAGTTATCCGATTAAGATATCTTCATAAAATAAAATGTATTCTACTAAGAGCGATTATTGCACCGATCGGTCGTTTGGTGGCTATATATAGTAAATTAATTAATTAGGCTATTTCTGCACCGCGATAAACTAGCCTTGCATATTGATAAGACAAGTCTATATAACAAGTTTTATGTTCGTAGCTGTTATGGTAACAAAGTTCTCGATGTTCATACAGGCGGACAAACTTTTAAACTTATTGGTAACGAATAATGAAATGTAATTTGAATAAAATTGATTGTTTAAGGTAAATTTGAAAATTTCACCTATAATATGTACTGATATTTGTATTATATTATACTTATATATTGACTGATCAAAGTTTAATTAAGTTTGAAATGAAAACTGTTTTCCTTCTGATTTTTTAAAGACTTCCAAGATCGGGAAAAACCAGTTTTTGAGTGAAGAGTAGTTTTGGAATCTGGATGAATTCAATTTGACCCGGACTGCTCCATTTAAGCAGCGCATATACCTAACCGGTAAAATATTATAATTTTTTTTTGCTTGGTATCCTTTTACATTCGTGTGAAGTTTTCGTGTGTTTGTTTTCGACGCGAAAAGTAGTATGAAAAACAAATAATCAACGAGTATGTTTGAAATTTTGTGTTCCCACTGGAATTTTGGCTGCGGAATTATTGAAAATGTTGCAGAGGGGTTGTAGGGAGTCTGCTCTGTCGAGAACGCAACTATTTAAGTGCCAACAGGCTTTTAGTGAGAATCGTGAGGTCGTGCATCTACCTCCGGAAAATGTGAAGGAAATTGTGTTCGAAAATTGCCGAGAGGGAGATAGCAGAGTTTCTCAACATCTTTAATGAATCGACTCAATATATTTCGGTTGATGTTTTGGGGCATGCAGCTTACGAAAATACCAACTCATGGATTTTTCAATCATTTCCTGAAGGAACTACATCAGCCATACCGGCCGAGTCTTTAACAAGTGTACGAAAAATTGTTCTTGGATGTAATTTCATTTTTAGCCAGTTCGAGTTAAATTGGATCAAATCTCCACTCTAATGAATATTTGAAACTTATTTTGGAGTCAAATGGTTTTAGCTTATTTCCTGATCGATTATTAATAAGAAAAAAAATGAAATATGCGTACAATTACGAACAGAATTGGCTATACTTTTCAGTTATTTCTGTCTCAAGGCCACTACTTTTATTCGAAAGTAAATAGTGCCAACCATACAATGAAGGACAAATACAAGTAGGTTGCAGCGAGTTCTCATACAAGTAAAACGAGGTAGAACCTGAAAACTGTGAAATGAATTGAATTCAATCCCGTGGATTCGAAAGCCTTGCATTTAAATTAGATGGCATTTAGCTAAGCATTGCATTGGCCATTGTATTGCATTAATGGGCCCTTCTAATGCAACTGACACTTGCATGCGTGTTTTGTTTGCAAAATCCCAGTCTCTGATATGATATTTTTTATTTAATTTTAAACTAAAGCCCACACACAACACACCAACAGAATAATGCAAATGCAAATACTCTACAAGTACTATTATGATAATGGTGTTATAGTTGTTGCTGCTCTGGCTGGGGGTGCTGGAGTGAGAATTAGGCGGATCGGCTAACTTTGCTTATTTGTCTGTGTGTGTGTGTGTGTTTGTGTGTATGTGTGTGTGTGTGTTTGGTTGGGTCTGGTCGTGACATCGCCACATAATTTCCTATACGCAACGCTTCACAAATCCATTGTAACATAAAGCAGCAAAGCAATTACATCACAACATACACACACACACACACACACACACACACACACACACACTCACACTCACACACACTCTTACATGTTGTTTGGCCTGGTCCGCTGCGGGATTTGGGGGCGGCGCCTGATGACGCGGCTACTCGACGCTAGCGCTGACAAAGTGCGATGCTATCAGCATAACTTCATTACGGAAGTTTTGTGCCCCTTTGCACATTGTGCCACTTTCTCTCGATGTGTGTGTGTGTGTGTGTGTGTGTGTGTGTGTGTGTGTGTATAGATGTGTATGTGTTCGACCTGCTCATGTTGTTTTTGTGCGTTTGTAAAATGGCTTTTAGTTAGCCTTGCTCCGCAAGCCCTTAAAACGTTACGCGCACCCTGTTTTTTTTTTTTTTTTACATTAAATTTTATTATAAGCTTACATACACACATATATATTTCTACCCTGCAAGCAAAGGGTATGGCAATACCTTTAAAAGCTGAGCTTCATATACAAACAAGCAGCATAAATATATCTCAAAGCAGCCAAGAAAGCAACTGAATTGAATAAACGCAAATAAACGACTACTGATCTGCATTTTATTATAGTATTGTGGCTTATATCGAAAAGTTTTTTTTTTTTTTTTTTAAATGTTTTCTAGCTAGTAGGAATAGAAATGTTCGTGAAGCTTATTATTATTCTTTTAATACGATTCGAAAAAGGCAAAGGCATGGTTAGGACAGTTTTCAATCGTTTTTAAGTCGAACAGCACTATGTTTTCAACTAACAAAGGAAATGAAAAAAAAAAAAACTTAGCCAGCCTAATAACGATTGATATGACTTTGGGGAATAATTTTCTTCAACTTGAAATAGTTTCTGTAATCTTTATAAATAACAACGGTGACCAGATAATTAAAAAATGGTCCTACCTAAGACAGATCTTAAATAAAGATAAAAAAGAATGAAAAAAATAGTACCAATAATTTTTATAAATAACTATTACGTTCTTGTAGAAAAAACTGTTTTTTATAAAATATTATTAAAATATTTTCACTTGCATAGTATCATAAAGCGATGCGACAATCTGGACATAAGTATTACTAAATAGTTAAGAAAGAAAATATAAAAATGAGCAAAAAAATAAGCAAACTAAATTTCTACAAAAAGTATGAAAATAAACCTCAGCTTTTCAAAACAATGCTCCTATTATTGTCCATTAATATCACCTGATGAATAGTATGCGGAAATGTAGACAGTTACAATATCTAAGAGCCTGAGTGATATTATAACTATTTACCCACATATTGTAAGGTATATATATAAATTTAAATTCATCTGTTTTTTAATAATAAACAATATAATTTGTGTCCGTTGCCACATCAGGCGGCATATTTCTTCGAAGATGCAGATAGTGGAGATGTAACAGTTAATTTCTCCCTAGATAGTATATTTTGTAGTCGGGTATGCCAGCTTTAAGCATTCTTATGTTTTTTGTTATTTTTTTATTTTTTTATTTTTCCTGCCTTGATGGCACCCAGCATGTCCAACGACCTGGCTGTCTGCCATGTCTGTCCTGCACTGATATTTTTCAAAATGAAAGTTTAACAAAATTAAACTTTTCTCATTAAAACGTGCGATTTTTTGCTCAGCACTGCCGACGTCGTTGTGCCTTCCACTCTCGGCAGCTCCTGCTACCGCTGCTGATTTTTTAAACGCTGACCACAGCTCTACGTCGGCTGCCATTGTCGGTTGCCGCTGAGAATCCGCTGAGAGTTGTGCATATGGTTGACTGACTGGCATTGGCATGAATGGCTTGGTTGAAATGATGTGGTGTTGGGAGGGGGGAGGTGGTAGGGATTGAGGGGGGGGGGGGGTTGGTTCAAGTAGTGGAAGGTGAACGAGAACAGGAGCAGGAGCAGGAGCAGGAACAGGAGCAGGAGGAGCGCAGACAACGTTGAAGCGTGAAGCGCAGCGAATTCAGTTGAAGCTGCTAAAACTCCAAACATACACATACATACACATAACCATGTACATATGTATATGTGTACGATATATTGTACATACACACATACGCAATATATGTAGATGAGCGGCGCAAAGATGACGGCCGTAACGGTAACATATGCCGTGTCCATTCCCATTGCTGCTGCTTGTATAAGCAATTTTTCTACCATTTCGCAATTTTGTTGCTCTGGTTGTTGTTGTTATTTCTGCTGCTCTCTCGGTTCAGAGACTGCTTTTTGTTTCTCTCCGTTTTTTTTTTTTTTTAATTGAATATAAAACTTGCCAACGGCAATCGGAAGTGCAGTGCAGGAAACGACAGCTGTGCCTGTGTGTTGTGTGTGTGTTTGCCCGTATGTGTGTGTGTGTGCCAAAGTTGGCTTTCAATTAAGACAACGCAAAAATATAAATAAAAAAGGAGCAATCAAATAAATTTATGAAAAACTGAGCAGCAGATAACAAAGTCAAGAGTACAAATTTTGACTCCAACAATGGCTTTAAAACGCAACAATTGTTGCGATTCTCGTCGACCATAAATAGTCAGGCGACTAATAAAAAAAAAAATGACGTCAATCGTATTTACACATTTCTTTCATTCGGCTTGTCGTAAGTACAAAAACAATACATATATTTTCCAGAAGCACTCCCAAAATAATCGAAGCAGCACTCAGAAAATAACAAAAAGTTAACACAATTTGCTGTCAAAGAAAACTATAAACTACTAATATGAAAAGAAAACGATCTGCTGATCTAACAGAAATGAGCAAGAAACGGACACAGGGCTGAGTCCATAGAAATATAAATACGTTTTATATAGTCTGTCTTTCAAAATTGTCCTTGCCTTCGTCTCAAAAGACGGGTCTTTTTAGCAATGGAAATATTTCTATTTATACTTTCTTTATTGTATAACAGCATCTACCTTTTGGATATTTCAATCGTGAATAACTCTAACTATTTGTGTGCTTACATTTTTGATATCTCTTCCATAGATTTTCCGATTTTCCTTTTATCCATTTAATGGCGATAGACTACCTGAACAATCAATTAATCTAATGGCGCGCATTGTATTAGCTTCAAAAAAGGTTAAGACCACCAATAATTTAAAAAAATGTTTGAGCAAACTATATGATTTGGATATTTATATATATATATACTTGTATATATATATTTTTTTTTTGAGCAGACAAACAAATATTTCAAGTTGTATATAAACCGAATTTAAATTGCGCTCGAATCGGCATTCATCCGTTTTGCAAAGGAACCAAAAAAAGCATTTGTAAGCAAATGTAGATTCAAACAGAATGCATAATCATTTGATTTATTCCTGGTTACGGTTCTGGAGATGTTTAGTATTATTACTATTGGGGGTGTGTCCTATAAATTTCAAGTTTAAACTTATGCCACTGCTTTAAAAAAAAACCAATTCAATCACACACATACCCGTACATATTATAAGTAGTTTTTTATGATACTCACAGTTCGAGCGCCCAGTCCAAGAACTTGTGCAACCCATTCTCGAGGGGCTTGGTCTGGAACCAATTGGTATGGAATGGCATCATGTAGGGTGCCTTATTCTGTTCATAGTAACGCGAGAAGTCCTCCTGCAGCCACTCGAACACTTCATTCTCATCTAGGTTATGCAGAACACATTGATCCAAATAGGGGCAGTGACCGCCCTCATAGCCCTCCACATAGTGCGTATTTAGGGGCACCTCCCACACGCCAGGGAATGTGCGGGACGGGCATGTGCCGCTCTTACACTCATGCGAAATTTTAAAATCTAGAGTGTAGGGCCACACGGGCACAGCTACTGGTGGCACGGTAATTGAACTGTCATAGATGTAGCCGAAGTCTTCCAGAACCTTGGAATGAAAGAAGTAAAATAATAAACATCTGTAAGTAATCTGGGCTTAACAGAAAAGAATAAGTAGCTTTGCTTATCAACCTACGTAAAATCATAGCCCGAAAATTATTAAAGGCAATTAGTTTTCTTTTTTTAAAGTTGCTACTACTCTTGCAGGAGATTTAATAAGCATCTCCAACGCCATAAGTATACATCTTCTCAATCAGCCTGACGAGACGAATCGATATAGCCATGTCCGTCTGTCTGAATGAACGTCTGGATTTCAAAAACGGCTGAGTCCATATTGAGCAAACTTGGTATGTAAATTATAAATTCTATAAATTAGGCAAAACCAGTTTATTTTATTTTTTTGAATCTTTTCCTCCTCCCTTGTTCGTCCTATTTTTCTTCTGCTCTGCGACGGGTACAGGGTATTTCACTCTCGGTCTTGCGTTTCCCTTGTTTATTTTTGAATTAATTAAAGTTAATAAACGAAGAAATGAGAGCATTTGCTTAAATAATATTCGGCTCGTTGCTAAGTCTTCGAGACCCTTTTTTAATACTTGTATGTCATGACTCTTGAGGGATGGACTGTTTAACATGGTTTGAATATTTTAGAAGCTAAATAAATGTAAACATGCATCTTTCAATGCCGTTGATTGATAACTGAATCCAAATAAGTCATTTAATAGTTAGCTTTGATGCTTGCACTACAATTTTTAGAATGCAAATGCAAGTGACTCTGATTAACATATTTTTGTTTGAGAAAATAGAACAGATATTGCAGAAATCAGATACTGCTATCATATATTTGATTACTTTGTATATTCCTTGCAGCTCGAGTAAGCAGAACATGAACTAATATTTGATATTACTTGTATTTTGAATTCCTCTTAAGCCCAACCAACCAGTTACAAGACTAATCACAAATACTTATATAGTACATATATTCTTTATTTCATTAGCCTGCATGGCGTTTATTTGTATGGGAAAGCTGTAATCGCTTAAGGATAAGGATAAGGCTAAATACCTTGATGCCTCATCTAAATGTTGTCATCAAACACTCTCCAAGGTATGTGTTTCATCATTACGGGTATTATTACCAACAACACCATTGTGTTGAGCTCATTGCAAATATAGTACAATAATATACTTTGCACTGGGCACACAAAACACGGTCTACGCATACACGCATACATACATATATTACATGTTATTTAACACGATGCAACATGGAAATGGGCCAAGAGGGCAAAGGGCCAGAAGCACTAGTTGGGGCAGTGTGGGCGGCGAGGTCGTTTTCACAAACATTTTAGCCTATTATCCGCATAAAGTGATTTGATATTGATATGATTTTAAATGGCTGCATATATATGTCTGTACATATACGAGCCCTAACCACTATTAATTGGTACGGCACGGTTTTTTTCGACAGTGCAACTTTCAATGACTCATATTTATTTGTAGGCGATGATTGCCCAAACATATTTATACTTTTTAAAAAGGTCATTGAATTACCTTTAATTTCATATCAAAACATGCACAAGTTTCATATCAACAAAATGAAAAAACTCAATTTAAATAAAACAACTTTCATACTACACGAAATATTTTGACCATTATTAATTGGTACGGCAACATTATTTTTCTTAAAAAAACGGTGAAAAATGTAAAATGTAAACAAAAACTGGACAAGTAACGGTAAATAGAATATTGTGATGAAGGAAAAGTAAAAACATATGACATTTAGTTGTAGTTTTAGTTTTATTCCCTGATTTATGAGCACGATGGCACGTGGCAAGCCAGTTTGTGAGGAAGTTCGAGCTAAAATTCTAAAAAAATTAAATTTGGGCAACAGCTATGGTGAAATATCGAAAAGTCTTATGCTTTCTAAGTCTACAGTTCAAAATATAGTGAAAAGCTACAGAAAGAATGGCAATATACACTGTAATACAGCAAACAGAGGTCGAGTCTCAAAAGTTACTTCGCGTGACAAAAGAAGTTTGTCGAGTATAATAAAGGAAAATCGGCGAAGTACTGTGAGAGATATATCGGCAAAATGGTCTGCAAAAATTGGGAAAACAGTGAAACGAGAATGGACTCGACAGCAAATGAAAAGAATTGGATATGGCTTCTATAAGGTATGATTGCGGTTCCTGCTTAGCATAACAGATAATTTTTTCTGTACAATTAATATATGTTGGTGTTTTTAGGCCAAAGAAAAACCATTGCTCACAGCTTTGCAGATGAAAAAACGATTGCTATGGGCAAGACAAAGGCAGAATTGGGAACAGAGGCGTTGGCATTCTATAATTTTTAGCGATGAATCCAAATTTGATGTGTGTGTCGGTGATGCTCGAAAACGAGTAATACGAAAACGTACGGAGGCATATCACAAAGATTGTCTTAAACGTACAGTCAAGTTTCCAACGAGCACAATGGTGTGGGGATGCATGTCAGCCAAAGGTGTGGGACAACTTTACTTTATAGATGGAACTGTAAATGCAGAAAAATACAAGTGTATCCTTCAAAGTAATCTCCTTCCATCAATACCAAAGCTTTCTGAGTGTGGGGAATATACCTTTCAACAGGATGGTGCATCACCACACACCGCAAAAACAACCAAAAATTGGCTTCAAGAAAATGGAATTGATGTCTTAGATTGGCCGTCATCAAGCCCAGATCTAAGCCCAATAGAAAACTTGTGGGCAATCATCAAAAGAAAGCTGAGGAATGACCCACAGCGTACTCTGTCAGGACTAAAATCAAAAATTCAGGAAATTTGGGATTCCATAACTCCAGAAGAATGCCTAAAATTAGTAAATACCATGCAGAAGAGAATTCAGGGTGTTATTAAAAATAAAGGAGATGTTACTCAGTTTTAATGAATATATAATGTTGCCGTACCAATTAATAATGGTCAAAATATTTCGTGTAGTATGAAAGTTGTTTTATTTAAATTGAGTTTTTTCATTTTGTTGATATGAAACTCGTGCATGTTTTGATATGAAATTAAAGGTAATTCAATGACCTTTTTAAAAAGTATAAATATGTTTGGGCAATCATCGCCTACAAATAAATATGAGTCATTGAAAGTTGCACTGTCGAAAAAAACCGTGCCGTACCAATTAATAGTGGTTAGGGCTCGTACATATGCTATAGGTATATGAGTATGAGTGCGTGTGTGTGTGTGTGTGTGTGTGTGTGTCAATGCCTCGCCTCTCGGCTAACGGCGCACTTGAACCGTTTTATGCGTTGTGACGTTAATGTCATGTCATGTCATGTCAAGTAGGCGACTATGTACGCGATTTGTGTGCGGGTGTGTGTGTGTGTGTGTGAGCGCACAGAGAAAAACATTTTTAGGTATTTGGGATGTATTTTTAAGTTTCTTAAATTAATTGTTTGCTCAAAGACTTGAGCGAAATATTATTTTGCAATCAACAAATTCGGCATCTTAGTCTAGATAAAGACGAATGGGGTTCAACTGGGGTTTCTGACGTCATACTTATTTCAAAGAAATGTAAGCGATATACTTGAAATAGTATAACCAACTTTAAAAAAAGGAGGAGGTTCTTAATTCAACTGAAGTTTTTTCAGGATGCTGTTACTTCAAAATTATCCTCGAAACATTATGTTACTTTAAATGACAAATTCTACTATTTTAAATATCAAATTCGAGTAAATAGCGCTTCAACAAATTCTTAGCCCAACATTCATTCATTTTCTCACATAAAGCTAATTTTGATTTGCTATGGGAAATCAATGGAGCTATGAATCTAGAGTCAGTTGAAATAGTCGAACAAACGAAAAAGCTTGAAGCTTGTATTATAGCTAGATTTCTTAGCAACATTAATACGTACAAAACACAAATTAAATATGGCCGACAAACCAAAACGTCCACTATCTGCGTACATGATATGGCTGAGCAGCGTACGCGAGTCCATCAAGCGGGAGAATCCTGGCATTAAAGTTACTGAGGTGGCGAAGCGCGGTGGCGAACTCTGGCGCGGACTGCGGGACAAGTCTGAGTGGGAGGCAAAGGCAGCCAAGGCCAAGGAAGATTACAATCGTGCCATGCAAGAGTTTAAGGCGAATGGTGGCGACAACGCAGGCTACCGTGGTGGTGCCAGGAAGCGCGCAAAGCCAGCAAAGAAACCAGCAAAGAAACAATCGAAAAGGAGCAAGAAGTCTGAGTCTGATGACGATGAGGAGGACGAGAGCGAGTAACTTAACAACAGTGGACCTGTCAATCGTCGTCAGATGTATTTCTCTACTCCAAATTAAACACCTACCCGGTCATAGTACCCCCATCAAATAGTCTACAAAAATCATTAAACGACAACAAAGATCCGATCAAAAATTGCGTTAGTGTGGGCTTCAACTGCCGCCTTCAGCAAAATCCTCGCCACACAACACAAAAAACAAAAATAAATTGTATTTAAATATTAGTATTTAAGTTTATAGTAGTCGTTTCTTTTTTTTAGTTCACATAAAAAAAAGAACGAAACATTTCCATTTAGTGTAATTCTGACAATGGCATCCGTGAGAAAACTATTTTAATCATACATCATTTATTTATTTATTTAATATATCGACAAATAATGCTATCAATACAGTTTAGTAATTTTTAGCTACAATTGAAACTTGAAAAAGATGAGAAAGCCTCAATAATAACTAATAATAATAACTATTTGTCATTTGGCCAGCTATGCCACGATTCATAGCCAAATGTTGTCAGAGACATTATAGACCTACTCCACTAAAAAATAGATAGTATAGGAGAAAACTTAATTCTACTTAAGAGCTATCTAGAGAGAAAGATCATTATAATTGGAACAAATGATCAGAAAACGATTGTTGGTCTACAAGGCACTGAAAAGTTAAGCGACCTAAGAGAGCAGAGGAGTCTACCTCACCAATAACCAAACTGTGGAGAAACAGACCTACGATTTACTAAAGAAGGAAGGTTTATAAGCATCACTCTGCTAGAGAACAATTGCCAGAGGTTGGGATCCCAGCTTAAATCACTTAGAGCAAAAAGAATGAATTGCTTCTGAACAGACTCAATACGTTCCTGATGCTTTCCATACCGGATACACAAAACGCATGAGCAGTATTCAAGCACAGGGCGTACTAGAGCAGTGTAAAGAAGCTTAGTGGTATAAGAGTCATTAAATTCCTTGGACCAACGTTTAATGAATCCAAGTAATACATTCATTTTCTCACACAAAGATAACTTTGATTTGCTATGGGAAATCAATGGATCTATGAATCTAGAGTCAGTTGAAATCGTAGAACAAACGAAAAGGTTTGAAGCTTGTATTATAGCTAATTTCCTTAGCAACATTTCTACGTACAAAACACAAATTAAATATGGCCGACAAACCAAAACGTCCACTATCTGCGTACATGATATGGCTGAGCAGCGTACGCGAGTCGATCAAGCGGGAGAATCCTGGCATTAAAGTTACTGAGGTGGCGAAGCGCGGTGGCGAACTCTGGCGCGGACTGCGGGACAAGTCTGAGTGGGAGGCAAAGGCAGCCAAGGCCAAGGAAGATTACAATCGTGCCATGCAAGAGTTTAAGGCGAATGGTGGCGACAACGCAGGCTACCGTGGTGGTGCCAGGAAGCGCGTGAAGCCAGCAAAGAAACCATCAAAAAAATCATCGAAAAGGAGCAAGAAGGATGAGTCTGATGACGATGAGGAGGACGAGAGCGAGTAACTTAACAACAGAGGACCTGTCAATCGTCGTCAGATCTTTTTCTCTACTCCAAATTAAACACTTACCCTGTCATAGTACCCCCATCAAATAGTCTACAAAAATCATTATACAACATTGAAGATCCGATCCAATTGCCGCCTTAAGCAAAATCACCACAACACAAAACAAAAAACAACAATAAATTGTATTTAAATATTAGTATTTAAGTTTATAGTAGTTGTTTCTTTTTTAAGTTCCCACAAACGAAAAAAAAGCACGAAACCTTTCAATTTAGTGTAGTTCTGACAATCGCATCCATGAGAAAACTACTTTAATCGTACCTCATTTAATCCAAATTATCCCCGCAACATTATGTTAATTTAAATGACAAATTCTACTATTTTAATTATCAAATTCGAATAAATAGCTATTCAACAATTTCTCAACTCAACATTCATTTATATTCTTAGAAATCCCTAGATGGTGTCTACAAATTTATGAGAAACAAACACCATTCACCTTAATCGATTGCACAGGATAATCGGAAATTGAGGAAAAAAGTGCCCCCACAATGACTGGTGAGGGCGTTTTGGACGCTTGGCCGCTTGTTATTCTTCATACTTGTTGACAAACAAAATCAGTTCAAAAACGGCCGACATTTTACCAAAACAGTAATTAAAGAATAATAAAATCTAATAAATTATTATTATTATAACTTCAATGCAACAAACTACAAAAATCTTCATAAGAAACGGAAATATGAGGAAACGCTTCAAAAGTGTTTAGTTAGTATTAAATAACAACCTTTCGGAATAGAGTGATTTGTCTGCTGTCGGAAAAGTGTTTTAAAATGTTGTGTATTATCATATGGAAATAATTAATTATGAACAACTAAGTATGTTAGTTGTACTTGTATTTATGGTACTTAAATAAACATGCAAATCACGCAAATGCTACTAATTACAAGAATTAGTATTTAAATATGTTTGAGTCTTATTTTTGCAAGTGCATGGCACAGTACGAATATTTTCTGTTTCAATTTCCAATAATCGCAATTGAAAATTATAGTATGTATCAATTACCTCTCTCATTGCTTGACGCATTGTTTGGGGGCTGCACAGCCCGCTGTGTGAGCCGTTTCTTTGCATTTATTTGTACGCCTGCTGGCGAGTAAATGCATGGGGCAGATAGGGGAAGGTATGCACTCACCTTGTATTGTGTGTTGCGTCCTGGTTTGAGGAATGGGGCACGCATGCCGACCACATCGTTGACAGACACATTAGCAAAATGACGCAAAATTTCACGCATGCCAATCATTTCGCCCACCCACTCCTCATAGCCCTTGTCCTGCAGTCCGAGTTGTTGTGAAATACTTTCGGTTGCAATCTCATGACCAGCATAGCCCAAGTGTTGAATCTGTTGATAGTTGCTGCAAGGAAACAAAAAAATGTGTGTGAATATGAAAATTGTTGTTGAGTAATGCGGCTTAATTAAAAAAGGCACATCATGAAGTTGGCATTTGAAAGGGATGCCAGGCAGGACCTTTTTGCAGATTCTGTGCATTCTTATCTCACAATTGTATAACTCAAAATTCTAATATAACTTGCAGTCAGGAAAATATATATTAAAAGTAACAGAAGCTGATTAACAATTTGTTACATTGTATTGCAAGTTGATGAACACCAACAGATTATTGAAAGGGTTTTCGAAAGAAAGGCAAATAGATAACCACGTTCCTTTGATACTTAATTTGTAATTAATATGCTTACATAATTCCGTGAAGCAACAAAAATGAAATTCCAAATAAGTTTCAAAAATCTAATAAGTTTCACATTGACTTGAATTTTCTGATGAGTTCAAGAATGAAGATAATTTTGATTTGCTATGGGAAATCAATGGAGCTCTGTATCTAGAGTCAGTTGAAATAGTCGAACAATCAAAAAAGCTTGAAGCTTGTATTATAGCTAGATTTCTTAGCAACATTAATACGTACAAAACACAAATTAAATATGGCCGACAAACCAAAACGTCCACTATCTGCGTACATGATATGGCTGAGCAGCGTACGCGAGTCGATTAAGCGGGAGAATCCTGGCATTAAAGTTACTGAGGTAGCGAAGCGCGGTGGCGAACTCTGGCGCGGACTGCGGGATAAGTCTGAGTGGGAGGCAAAGGCAGCCAAGGCCAAGGAAGATTACAATCGTGCCATGCAAGAGTTTAAGGCGAATGGTGGCGACAACGCAGGCTACCGTGGTGGTGCCAGGAAGCGCGCAAAGCCAGCAAAGAAACAATCGAAAAGGAGCAAGAAGGATGAGTCTGATGACGATGAGGAGGACGAGAGCGAGTAACTTAACAACAATCGTCGTCAGATGTTTTTCGCTACTCCAAATTAAACACCCACCCGGTTATAGTACCCCATCACATAGTCTACAAAAATCATTATACAACATCAAAGATCCGATCAGAAATTGCGTTAGTGTGGTCTTCAACTGCCGCGTTAAGCAAAATCACCACCACACAACACAAAAAACTAAAAATAAAGTCTATTTAAATATAAGTTTATAGTAGTCGTTTTTCTTGTAAGTTCAGACAAATAATATTATTATTTTATTTTTTATCAATATTTTTATAATAATTAATTTTGATATATTGCAAATTTATGTTCATTTTAAAGGGTACTAATACAAATTTTTCCTAAATATATATGCATTTCCTACAAGTTAAAGCTTGTTTGAAGATGATATGTGACAGCAAAAATGTCTTTATTTTAAAAATATTATGCAATGATCATGAGAAAACTGAGGAGAGGTTAAAATATTTGACCCTCAACTATAGCTCCAACAAAAACTAAGCTAATGCTTATCATTCAAATATCGACATCAAGAGTAATTATATAAATAAATATATAATATATTTAATGGGAGAAAAATACAGATTTCATAGTATCAGCCGAATTGTGATGGGAATAAATTGAACTGACGTGGAACCATTGCTGCTCCAATCAGAATCGAGTACGAATTGAAAAAAAGAAAAGCAAGATAATTACAATTTAGAAAGCAATTATCTAACAAAAAAATGAACAATCCTCTTTCGGAATGTACAATAGCAAAATGCGACTTTATATTTAAAATCTTCTAATTTGAGTGAAAAAGGAATTTATGTGAATACGACATAATACTTGGGGCTATGGCCAACAATGTTACGAGCAAGGTAAAAAATGTACGAGAGTACAAAGGGAAAATTTGATGTAGTGCAGCTAAAATGTTAACAAATAGTTTTCACACTTGATGCACAAACACAAATAAAGCCACAAACACTCATGCGGGCTGTAGTAGATATTGCAACAATGGTTAACAAAGAACTTTGGTAAAAGGTACACCAACTGACTAACTGAGTGAGTGAGAGACTGACTGGCTGACTGACTAACGGAATGAATGAATTTCTGACGTGCTATAAAAAACTGCAGGTTTTGCCAATTAAAAGAACTTTACAGTTGCAACAACAGCAACAATACCAAGAGAATCCGAAGCATGAGCACTTGCAATGAAAATGAAGCTGGAGATAAAAGTTGCGCACAACAGTATGCAATGGCAAATGTGCCCAGTTATGCAAAGTAAAAGTAACAAGCATAATTGCGCATGTGTGTGTGAAATAAATTTCTTAAAGTTGAAACAGGCGCAAAATGCGAACGGAGACGCGCGCCGTGCGAATAGTTTTACAATGTTTAACACATAGAAGAAGGCAAAAAATAATAAAAAAAAATAGCAATAAAAAGAAAATCTACTGCAACAAAAAAATTGTTAATGAAATAAAATGATGGAAGTGCTTTTATTTTTATTTTGTGTTTGGTTTGCTGTTTTTTCATTCTGTCTCTCACCCACTGCTTAATATTGTTGGTTGCTTGTTTTTCATGTGCATGTGAAATATTTTTATACGTATTCATTAAACATTTCACTCTGCAGTGCAACCAGTCGGAAGAATATCTATTTGTGTGTGTGCATGTGTGTTCTTATGTATAAATGTATATATATGGATAAATATGTGTATGTGTATGGGTGTGTATGTGTGTGCGTGTATTTGTGTGCTTTATTTTTGGACAAACAAACTGTGCAAATATTTCGCAATGAAATTACGCCCTAAAGTCAAACTTTTGGCTTGTTGTAAAAAAAGAAAAAAAAAACGGCGAGCGATAAGTTAGGGCAGGACTTGTGCTCGTGTAGGAGCTGAAGCAGCGAATAAGAGAGAGGGGAAGTCAGCTAGAGCTGAGTGTAGTCAAAATAATGAATGGTGCAATGGCAAGTGCCACGCACTTTTGAATGACGCACATAACGGAAGTGTCCCACGCACACACTCCACCCACACCCACACCAACACACACACACACACACACTACTTTACGAGTATGCATGCACACATACGGACACATGTGCTAATATAATGTGCCACACAATGGCGCGTACAAACTATCTGACATCGTCAAAAAGTTCATGCAAAAATGTGAAAATGTGAAAAGTTGGCTGAAAAGCTCAGCACCAGCTACAACTTGCAGACGGCGACAATAAACGCCCACACACTTGCAACAAACACGCGCACACGTATGCACACATTTACACTCACATGTGAGATAGATTTATAGCATGACATTTCAATTGTTGGACAAACAGTTTGCCTGGACGAAAGAATTGGGCGAAGGCGGTACAGGGGACAGGGCAAAGGGCTCTTGGTCCTGGGCCAAGGCTGTTAGAAAACTGAAAACTGCACAAAGTATGGGTAAGGGCAATAGTTGAGGTGGTGCCGTCTATTTCTTGCCTGGTCCTGGGCCAAGGCTGCGAGGCAACTACATTTGGAGGTTAGAGGCAGCATAAGACAAGACCAAACAGACATTGCAACGATGTTTTGCATATAAACAAAACACACACACACACACCCCCGCACACATACTCGCACATAGAACGGGAAGTGCATGAAAGGCTTGAGGGTTTGTCGGAGGCATGTGTAGATGCACAGGCAAAATGTCAGCAGCAATTAACACTGCGAACAAATAACAACAACAACAACAACAACTACTACAAAAACAAATGCTGCAAAACAAGTGCCACCAACAGTGGCTGACGAAGCAGAGAAGGCGCCACGCGAAGATGTACAGAAATAACTAACAGAGGAAAACAAAAACAACATGGATATGAACCAAGGCAAACAGAAGGAGAAGAAGACGACGAAACAGATACTAGTAGCAGAAAAAGAAGGTGGACAAACACAAACACACACTGCTAACCAACACATGCCATACTTTTTGATGAATGCTCTTTGGCCTTGCTTGACAGCACATGCAGGCTACCGTCCATCATCAAAGTGAACGATCGGGCAGATGGCGATATATTTTTATTAGGCTGAACATTTCAGGTCCGACCATTTACTACAAGTATATACGCTCGATCTGGCGTGATTTCCCAAAACCACACAGACAAAAAGTAATGCATAGGCGAAACAAATTAAAAATAATTCAAACATGAAAAGGAAATAAAGTGTGTGCGAAATCTTGTATAATAAGTTCGTTTCTTAAAAGTCTCCCTTTTTTATTGTAATATTCAATATTCAATTCAATAAAGTAGAGAATGGTGTCAACATTGTATATTATAAAGAAATGTGAGTAAAAAATGTAAAATAGGCAAGGGAACAAACTTTTCTAGAATCTATTTTTAGATTTTGATTTTGATTTGTTTGGATTGGCATTCGATATTTATCCACGACTTGAATTCTTTATTTTTCTAAGAACTTATAAAGTAGACATTTGAGATATAGAAAAGCATTTGAAAACCCTAAATTTTGATTTTAAAAATTATACAAATTGTTTTGAAAGTGTTTTCAAAATTTGAACTATATGTGAAATGTTGATTTGAATGGAAAATAATGGTTTAACTGTATTTATTTAATAATTTGCATATAACAATATAATAAAATGCATATTTATGCAGCAATATAAATGTTGTGCAGCTTATAGATTCAAATGCCATTCAAAAGGACAGCCTATGTACAGAAATATCTACGAGTTTAGCCAAGAACTCCTCTAAATAATCTACATAATAATTGCAATTGAATGAAGTTCACATTCTTGTCATTACTGACATGATCTGAGTTAATAAAGCTGCGATTTCGTATATGAGTATTTAGTCGGTAGGACTGAAATGAGTACGTATGTATGTATGTTTGTGCTTATATGCACATATCTACATATTTAAGTATGTGTATGTGTGTTGACTATTGTTTATGTCAACAACACAACACTCATACGCATCGTGGCACAGCGAAATGGTTCGCAGTTGACTTTTTGTTGTGCAATTTTTGTTGGTTGTTGTTGTTGTTGCTGTTTCATTTCTTTGCTCGCACGCCTACAGAAAACAACAACAGCAAGTGTGAGTGAGAAAAACA